GGGAACAGAACAGGCAGATTGACTAAAATACACTGCTGAGGGGAGCAGTGGGTGACTCAGGAGAGGTCTGCTGCACCATAGTTCCCTGAACGGGGACAGAACTCCTGCTGCAGTGGCTGCGGATTGCTTCATAATGTTGTGTCTTAACCCCTTGTGCCACCAGGGAGGCCTACCAGCCTCCTTTAGAAGGTAAGATGTGCGTCTCAAAAAATAATCCAGTGCCGTGTGTTCAATGTGTAAATCAGCAGGAAGGTAACTGCTCTCCATGGTGGGGAGAGAGAGATTGTCACTGATGGGTGGTGAGGGCCGGATCCCTAGAGGACAAGGCAGAAGAGTGAAGGAGGGTAAATGAGAACCAGGTCCAATATTTGGCCTGAGAAGGGGGAAGGCTGTACCTTCCCTTCCCTTGCCAGGTAAGGCTAAGATAAAAGCACCGCAATTCCACCTGCTCAGTTTGGAATAGACGGGCAGACAGGATTTGGAGTGAAAGTTCGCCCCCTCGTGGATATTCACAGAATTCAGTCGACTTCTGTTTCACCATCAGGATTAACCAGAGAGGAACCCACCTTGCAAGCAGTCTGTTGGTCACAAGGCTCCTCACCTGTCCCTTCGTTTGATCAACTATTGTTTTGTTGGATGACTTTGCTCCTGCGCCGAGGCCACACTTCATAAGATGAAACCATAGGGAGAGAGCAGGGTAGCTTGCGCCAGGGGTGGACACTAGAAAAGACAGCCCAGCAAAGTGTGGGAGATCTTGCAGCCCTCCCAAACCGGGCTCCCCATTTTGCCCACTCTCACAGGTGTGAACTGACATAAAACTTTTGTTTTTACTTGAATATCTGGCATATTCCCTGGAGCGTGCCTCCCAATTATTCTGATTTTTCTTGAATTTGGCCAAATGTCGACCTCAATCTAAAGATACAAATGTCTCTCTTTCTGAGAAAGTTGAATCATTTGTGAAAGATCTGGCTTAGGGAAAAAGCATTTTCTGATTTTTGATGCATTTAGGATCTTTTACACTTTGTATGCAAGAGCAAAAGCAAAATAAGAGAAAAGCCAAACGCGGGCGTCAGGGTGGCCACAGGAAAAGGCTTCCTTTTCCCTGCTGAGCTAGTTCTGTGATGAGAACAGTCATCTCCTCTGACGTCCAGCTACTATGGCAGGACACGCGGGCCTTTTATTTAGGCTCTGCTTCCCAGAGCAGAGAAGGTTCTTGCTGGAGACCCACAGTCAGTATTCGTGGAAGAACTGCAGGAATTTTCTCATCCTTGCGCTTGGAAGGAAAACAGCTTCTCATAGCCCATTTCTGTAGGGTCAGCTGTGTTCACCTCAGTGGAAAGAATTCCCTAGGATCAAATCGCACACAATTGAAGAAATCTGGGGTGCCCCGGGGACCTCGTGAATTTCTACCCTCAAGATCCACACGCAGAGTGACGCATGGGTTTGCTGTCTGTGTTGCCACCTTTGGCCTAAGGAGTTTGAATTTTGCAGAGCCGTCCTGGCCTTTACATGAAGCATTGACTGGGCCCTCCGAGGGATGAGCACACTGGGGCTGGTGTGATGGCCACTGAAAAGATCAAGCTGGAATTGGGCCTAAAAAGAATGTTTTTTATCAAGTCGACTGAAACCAGATTCATGCATTTGGGCAAAACAGGCTTCTGCCTCTCAGTGCGATTAACAACAGCAGCTAAACGCTGCGCGCAAAAGCCAGGGCTGTCTTACGTCCTCCTCTGTGGGAAGAACGGACTTTTAGTTGGCTAGCCAAAGACCTTGGGTATTTTCTGGTCCCCGAAGGTGTTATTGTACCATTTCGTAAGAGGAGCACTATTATTATTATTTTAATGTTTCATAAATATATTGACAAATTACCTGCCAAAGCAGTCACAATGTAGAAAGATAACGTCAACACAAAGGTGAATTTTCTGTTTTAAAAAAGCCCAGGCAAAATGAGGTGAGAGTTTGTCATCCCGTTACATTGCTTAACTTTTCTGAGTTCTAGAGTCACTGAACATTTTTTTATATTTTAACGATAATGGCTAAGTATGAGCAGCAAGACCGTCTGTGGGCACAGACGCAAGCTGGACGGCTGCAGCAGGGCCATGGATGGTGAGTCGGGATTTGGGCTGTACCTGGGGCCACCCAATTTATAGAAATGGAATATGTGCAAATTGGAATGCTCAAAGTAGCATCTCACTGAGGTTTTGATTTGTATATCAGGAATAAATAATGGTGTTGAGCACCTCTTGGCTAGTTGGCTATTTGTATATCTTCTTTTGAGAAATGTTTATTCAAATCTTTGCTTAGAAATGTTTATTCAAATCTTTGCTTATTGTTGAGTTGGTTTTTAAACAATGTTTTTTTCACCTCACTACATTTTTTTAAAGATTTATTTATTCATGCTTACAAGAACTGGGGTACAGGCCAGATGCACGGGAGGGTGAGAGGATTCACCAGACAGAGTGGGGAACAGAACAGGCAGATCTACTGAAATCCACTGCTGAGGGGAGCAGCGGGTGAGACAGGAGAGGTCTGCTGTGCCATGTGGGACCCTCACCAGCCGGCTGAGATGGAACCCGTGCTGCAGAGGCTGCGGACAGCTCCATAGCGCTCTGCTCAACCGCCTGTGCCACGAGGGAAGGTCCCTCACCTCATTGCATTTTATAATAATAAGGAAATTTAAAATGACCCAGACGATCATCAATAGAAGATATCAGGTTGAAAAAAATCATGAAATAACAAGTTAAAGACCAACGTAGATTAGATGTTCTGACGTGGAAAGATGACCAAGATGTTTTGAATTTTTTAAAAAGAGAGAGAAGAAATGGGGGAAAGCAAGTTGCACAAAACCATATGTAATATGAAGTCCTTTGGTAATGTCTGGGTACATTTTTGAGAGTCACAACTGGGTGGATGGGGAGGCATCTATTCCTGGCATCTGGGGGTTAAAACGCTGGGAGTTCTGCAATACAATCACAGGGCAGTCCTCCAAATTAAGGAATTTTCTGGCCCAAAATAGCAATAGTGTGGCGGCTAACACCTCCCATCCTGGAGGAATGTGTTGATACATCAAACTCTTACCTGTGTCTCCAAGAGTTGAATTGTGGCATAAACCCTAAGTCATTGATTTCTGTTTGCATTTTTAATGCACTTATTATAGTGGGGGGGGAGTTTTGAAAAGGTATAAACAACTGGGAGAGCTGGCGCATGCAAAACATGAGTGCATGTAATCACATGCGCAGCAGTCGGGCAGGCGGGATGACAGCAAGAGCAGAGCACGTAGACCAGGGAGACGGAGAACAGTGAGCTGGGCAGCGGACGCCAGGAAGAGTCGGTCCGCCATCCCACAGGGGCGTTTGCTCCTGGGCCAGATCTCCCCCATGGCCTGTTCTGTCCTGGCCCCAGGGAATTGCCGGTGCTCAGGTCAGGATCGGCTGGACAGGGGACCCTTTGTGTGGCCACTGGGGTCCTCCCATCCAAATGCCACATCCAGAATCGTGAGGGTTGGAGAAAGTAACCATTAGAAGCTTGAAAAGACATAAAAGTACATGCGAGGGAGACGTCGGAGTACTAGCTCTTCTTCCACGGGGTAAATTGTGCTTTTTTTCTTACTTTAGATGACGCCTTCACTGCAGTCTCTCGAGCACCAGCAGATGCTGGACAGGCTCCTCTCGCCGCATCAGCCGCGCTCCCACCTTCACAAACATTGTGCAACTGCAAGCGCCTCTTTGGCCAGGACTTTGTCTCATCTTCAATTCCTCAGCATTGTGATCAGTTGACAGACTACAGACACCCAGGAGCCGCTTGTTGACAGAGTAAATATTGATCCACTATATGCTGTGAGTGGATATTGGAGTCGAGTCTGAACTGGTAGGAGGAGAAAGAACTAAAATCAGGAATAAGGCGTGCTAGTTGCAATGGCTGTGTGCACTGCCTACAGCTAAGGAATACAGGGCTGCGGGCCAAGAGGACCCAAGACCTAAACAGGCTCCTGGAACAGGGAGGCGGGGGATTCTCCCAGCACCTAGGCAGCTTCTAAGAGCTGTCCCAGGCCCTGCCCCGGGATGAGACACTACTCGGCACACAAATATTCCAACAGTTCATTGAGCTCACCTCTGTCACTTCAGTTCTGTGCCCTCTGTCCCCCAACAGCACCATCCCTGGCCTCCAGATGGTGCACCCCTGGGGAGCTAGAACGTCTAACAGGCACAGCTGTCAATGCCCAACTCAAGGTCAGGTGGCCAAGTTTTTGGATGCAAAAAAAAAAAAAAAAAAGGAAAACTTGATTATTTTGTGAAATTCTTGGATTTTTCCAATATTGGCCCAAATTAGTCATCAAACTTTCAACAGGTTAAAAAATACTCGGGTTGTGGTCAGCCTGCCCATGAGCTGGACGCCTCTAAGCTCCTGTCCACTCTTCCGGCTCGGTGACTTCAGCCTCTGCCCTGTCTATGCTTGGCTAGTTTTGAAATGAGGTCAATTGATGATCTTCACTCAGTTGAACCAGAAGTCAGGAGAGCTCTTTCTTTGAAGTTTCAGGACAACGGGTTTCTCTTCAGGGAAAAGATCAAAGTGTTTCTTTCAGGTGGAATTTCTTCCAGAGCAGCCTCGCCCCCCACCACCCCAAGGCCCTCAGCCCCACCCGTCTGACTACAGCTGCCATCAGCTCTTCTTTCTGCTGTGGGTCTCAGTGACGTGTTGTGGTCTGTGCATGTGAACAAGACCAGCTCTCTGTATTCTGATCTTCTCCCCAGAGTACAGTCTTCTTCAAACCCTGTTTCCATTTACTTGATGGATGATGCTATCAAACTAATTAAACTAATTTTAATCAAGCACCATATGCTAAAGCTAATGAATCCTGTTGCCAATTGGTCTTTAAAAAGGGTGTGGTTGCATGTAGACATATATATGTATGTAAAATTATATGCATATAATTCTATATGTACATATAGTCAGCAGCGTTACAAAAGAAAGGGGTGTCTTTGAAATAAGGAAGGAGGGTCTCCCTGGTGGCCTAGGGGTTAAGGCTCAGCATTATCACTGCTGGGGCCTGAGTTCAATCCCCAGCCAGGGAGCTGACCCACATGGCTCCGCAGACCTCTCCTGTCTCCCCGCTGCTCCCCTCAGCAGTGTGTTTCAGTAGATCCACCTGTTCTGCTCCCCACTCTGTCTCTGGTGAATCCTCTCACCCCAGCACCTCTGGCCTGTACCCCAGTTCTTGCATGCATAAATAAATCTTTAAAGAAAAAAAAAATGAACACATTTACTGTTTCCTCCACTCCTTTTGAGCATGTCCTGTGCGAGTGTCTCGTATTGGGAGGGTTTGCAGCACATTGTTAGGGGGAGAATGACAAGGAAGGACCATGAGTTCCTGGATGATCTTGTGGAGCCGATGGTTATCAACTTGGGCTGCACACAGTAGGACCATTATGTGTGGGGGAAAAGAAACTTCAATTTTTTTTAAAGTAGCATACATTAGGGCCTATGTTACAGCAGCTCAGCCTTTCCTAATAACATAAACATTGGTACCCAGAAATGCACCTGAATTGTGTATGTCAGCTTAGGAGCCAGGGGGGACATCGAGGACAGATACTGTGTTCTAGGGTCTGCTGACCCTGGTAGGAGGAGCATCCACCTCTCTCTCCCGGGAAGAGCTGCTGTCACTCTCAGTTCTACAGCTCGCATCACTCGTAGAACACACTTTTGATGCTTAACTGTCACTACAGATCTATCTCCTTAAGTTTCCAATACCCTAAAAACTCCCAGTGGCCCTTTGCATCTGACCCCTTCTGCCAGCCTTAGCCCCAGGGAACTTTCTTTTGACAGAGACAGTTTTGGCTATTCTTTAATTCCATATAAATGGGAGTCAGCATGAATTACTCTGTGGCACGCTTCCTGCGCCCACATAGCCCTGTTAAAAACTCATTAGCAGTCCTCTGGCGTGAGCAGTGTGCTGTCATGTGGACACACCTCGGCTTGTTCACCCGTCACCAGTCAATGGGCATTTGGGTGACTTCTAGTTTTGGGTTATTATGAATAACACTGCTGTGATTAGCATGTGTGTCTGTGTGTATGTGTTTTCATTCATCTTGTGTAAATACTTAGAGGTGGGGCTACTGAGTGACGTGGTAAGTGTAGACTTTACAAGATATTGATAGTCTGTTCATTGAAATGACTGCACCATCTTGCATCCACACCAGTAATGTCAGAGAATTCTCATTGTCCCACAAGGTCATCAAAATTTGGAATCATCAGCATCTTTAACTTTAGTCTTCGAAGTGGGTGAGCAGGAGGATCTGGGTTTGCATTCCTGAGGCCCTAAGCACTACTGATGTCAAACATCTCCTACCCCGCTTTTTGACTATTTGCATATTTTATTTTGATACGTCAAATCCTTGCCTATAAAAAAACAATTTATCATTGAGTTGGATGAGTTCTTTTTTTTAAGATTTATTTATTTACTTATGCATAGAAGAACTGGGGTGCAGGCCAGAGGTGCCAGGGGTGAGAGGATCCACCAGAGACAGAGTGGGGGGCAGAACAGGTGGATCTACTGAAATACACTGCTGGGGGGAGGGCAGCAGGAGACAGGAAAGGTCTGCTGCACCCTGTGGGTCAGCTCCCTGGCGGGGAATTGAACTCAGGCCTCAGCAGTGATGTTGATACTGCAGAGCCTTAATCCCCAGGCCACCAGGGAGGCCCAGATGAGTTCTTTATAGATTCAGGATCCAAGCAAAGAATAAACTCATTACCCAGTACCCACTGATACCTTTGGAAACTGCTTTTTTGCATTATGGTCATACATGATAGTTGTTTTCTATTTTGGGGGGCAGAGCAGCCTGCAAAAATCTTACCCTCGCAGTCCAGGAAGTGGAGTAGGAAGGTGATTTAAGGGCTAGGACTGAAACTGAGCATCAGTGTGCTGATGTTTTGTTACTAGAATCCAGTCCTGTGACTTCACCTAACACTGATTCATCTTTGGTGAGGAAAGAACTCAATGTTGAGACCAGAGTTACAGGAAAGCAAGAGATTCATTGACAGATAAGAGGAAGGACAGGAAAGCTCTTTGGGCAGAGAGGAGTCCTGAGTGGGTAGCTGCTGAGGGGGCGAGAAGCAGGAGTTTATATGGTATAGTGGGCAAGGAGTGGGGGTTTGGCCCTTGGGTGTCTTGCTTATTGGCTGGGACTCGTGGGGTCCCCTAGGTTACTGAGACCCACTAAGTTCCCCTGGTTTCCGGGCGTGCCTTCCTGCCGACAGCTTTGGCCTGTTGCTTTAGCACTGCACTAGGTGCTGGTGCTCTGAACACTCAAGTCTTTACTGGGGAGCAGGCACCCTCACTCCCACTGACTGTTTCTCGTTCAGTTTGATAGATGGGCGTCAGACACCTGGGCTTGTGGACGGCTGGCCTCCCGGTGGATGACCAGCCGGTAGTGTCTGCTGTGGGGGATTCAGATGGAGCATGGCGTGGCAGGAATTCTGACCCAGGAACACGGAAAGTCTAGTTCCAGATCCCTTCCAAGCAAATCATCATGCAATACCTACCATAAGCCGGACCCCGGGTGATGAAAGCGAGACTAGCGTGTATTCAGCACTCATTATGCAGCAGGCATGTACCTGGAAATGTTTCTAAACTGCAGAATGGACCTAACTTCCTGGGGTGGCGTGAAGATCTCCCACACCTTTCTCTGCTCTTGCCATGCCATGGCTGGTGTGCTTGGTGGCGCCCCCCGATCTCGCCAGCCCCAGCAGAAGCAGGGTTGGGCAAAACAAGGCTGCCTGCCAAGCACTCCCAGTTCCCCCGAGGGAAGGGCTGGCTAGAGAAACAGAGCATTATTAATATCATCCAAATTTCAACAGACCAGTTTTTCCACTCTCTGGATAACTATTTTCCAGCTTCTGTTGCCCCTCAGGGGTTTGGATAAGATTCCAATTTGTAAGCTGGCCCTTTGCTCTCTGCTGCGTCTGCACCAAACTCGGGCTCTGCAGAGCTTCCACTCCAGAGTAGTTCGACGCCACTGGCTCTGCCCTTCCCGTGAATCTCCTGTGTCCCTCCGTGGTCTCGTCAGACTTGTCTGAGACAGCCCTTTCACTGCCCAAACGGCCTGGGAATGAGGCCCATGTCTGCATCTCTCTACCCAAAGCAACGCGGCAGCAAGCATCACAGCAGCAGCAGCCACATGATGATTCTTTTTGGAGCCTCCGACCCGTCACATGGGCCATTTGGGTGACCAGCAGTAGTTACCTCCCTCGTTCACGGGCTGATTAGAGAAGAATGTTCCTTACAGCGTAATGGATCTTGTTTTCCCTGCTCTCTAGTTACAAAGGTTATCAACCTTGAAATGGTCCAAAGGGGCCTCCCTGGTGGCGCAAGGGGTTAAGTCTTGGTGCTATCAAGCTATCTCCAGCCACCGCGGCACAAGTTCCATCCCCAGCCAGGGAGCTGCCCACAGGACACAGCAGACTTCTCCTGTCTCCCCCACTGCTCCCCTCAGCAGTGCATTTCAGTAGATCTGCCTGTTCTGTTCCCCACTCTGTCTCCGGTGAATCCTCTCACCCCTGCATCTCGGGCCTGTACCCCAGCTCTTGTCTGCATAAATAAATCTTTAAAAAAAAAATAAAGAAATGGTCCAAAGACATCCATGATGGAAAGGTAAGAGTAGGAAGAAGGATCAAAGCTTCACAACATCTTACACCTGACCCTGTCCAGACCCTCATCTAGAACCTGTCACGTCTTCAGCGGAACCCCTCACCTGATCCCAGGCCTGCCCCTTCCCCACGCGCTGCCGGCCCCGGCCCTGCTCACCTCTGGCTTCGTCCTTCATCTCTGGTCCCTCGCAGCCTCCACTCTGCTGTTGCTCGTTTCTCAGTTTCCTGAACGTCAGGGTTTCTGCTTTTCAGGCTGCTTTTCGGCACCCCCACCCCCAGGCCTGTGTGGTCGACCTTCTAGATTGCTCCAGTGGTGTGTCTGTGTCCGGCCAGAGTCCCTGGCTTCGGGAGCTCCTCCATCGTGCCCCCCAGCCAGCCCTCTGGCTCCCGAGAGTCCCTGGGAACAGCCTCAGGGGAACACCTGAAGCCTAAAGCGCCGTTCTGCGACGCGCCGCCCTGTATCTGGCGTCCGCCTGCGGTGTAGACTCCCTTGTTTGCCTGCTTCCCGCATGCTCTAATTCAACGATAAATGTGAACAAACAAATACATCGGTGTATAAGCGAATATTCATTCCTACACTTCTTGTTTGACTTGTGTTTGAGGTTCTTTTATATTTGAGGTACAGACAGGCAAAGAAGAGACATTGGGCCAAGGAAAGGTGAACCCTGTCACTCTATCTTAATTAGAAGCCGAAGTTCTATTCAGCTTCTTTGAGCCTCAACTTACTCACGTTTGCAATGGTATTGGAAGTATCAGTCTGTTATTCCTGAGTGGGTCATTGCTATGTTATGAACTATATAGTTCCTAACTAGAAGATCTGAAATATGCATACAGGCAACTGGGAAATAAGTTATATCAAGAGCTATCAGTCATTTACATGTTAGTGAGATTGTGTTAATTTGGTAATGAGGCTTTATTGAGGTCGGGGGATGGAGCCCCCATGATGGAATTCGTATCCTTATTTTTTTTTAAAGATTAATTTATTTATGCATACAGGAACTGGGGTGTAGGCCAGAGGTGTGTGTGGGGCGGGGGGGTGAGAGGATTCACCAGAGACAGAGTGGGGAACAGAACAGGCAGACTGATGAAACACATTGCTGAGGGGAGCAGCAGGCGAGACAGGAGAGGTCTGCTGCGCCATGTGGGTTGATCCCTGGCCGGCGGGGGATTGCTGCAGAGGCCACAGATTGCTTCATAGTGCGGTGCTTAACCCCTTGCGCCACCAGGGAGGCCTGAATTAGTGTCCTTATAAGGGGATGAAGGGATCAGAGTTCTTTCTCTTTCTCTGCTGGGAAGACCAGCAAGAAAGCAACCATCTCCACACCAGGAGAGCCCCTTACCAAGAACTCAGCCACGCTGGCCCCCTGACCTTGGACTCCTGCCTCCAGCACTGAGAAATGAGTATTTCTTGGTAAGCCTCGCAGTCTCT